CATTCTTCAGCTTCCTCTCTGATACAGTGGGCATGATCATTGCTCCAACCTCACAGAACTATTATAGAGTCTGCTATCGTATCATGTATCATGTGGCATATCACAGAATCTATTAGGATGATAAAGCGAGTTACTATATGAAAGAGTAAGAGATTTTTTTTTTAAAAAAAAGATGTTTTTATTTACTTGACAGAAATCTTCCATCTGTTGGATCACTTTCCAAATGGCTTCAATGGTTGGGGGCTGGGCCAAAGCCAGGAGACTGGAATTCCATCCGGGTCTCCCACATGGATGGCAGGTGCTGCTTTCCTAGACACATTAACAGGGAGTTGGGTCAGAACTGGAGCCGTCAGGACTTGAATGAGCGCCCACATGGGATGCTAGTGTTGCAGGTAGAAGCTTAACCCACTGTGCCACAGTGCCGGCCCCAGTGAGGATGATTTTATCATCACCATGACGCTGGCCTGGCTGTTCCTGAGGCCCAGTACCCCCATGCACCGGGCCCGGGTGGGAACAGGGGGACCTTTGGGAGAGGCAGGTGCCTTGACCTAAACTGGAAGCACATGGGAAGGCTCTGAGGAGCGGGCTCTTGGCTGTGAAGATCGGATGGAACATGGAATGCATAGGAGCAGGAGAAGGACTGCTTGAAAGGGGGATGGCATGAGCCAGGGCCCTGGGGGGGGGCAGTGGGAAGCAGGTTTGGGTGTGGGAGTAGGAATCAGTGAGGCTGCAAAGGTGGAGCACAGGTTGAGGGTTCGGTATTCAGAAAGATGGGTGCTTACCTGCGAGGCGGTAAGAAGCTACTGAGCACAGGACGCGCGTTTACGGGCTCCCGTTACCTGGGTCTCACCTAACTTCTTCATGCCTTCGGGAGCAGAGGTGTGCTTCAGTCCTTACCTCAGGAGGTGTCCTCAGGAATGCACGTTGAACCTTAGCCAGTGTCGCTTTCCCATCTGGTGGAATGCGAGTTTCCTCCTCTGATGGGTTAGTGTGATGTCCCGATGAGTGTTTTCATGCTGAGCCATCTTTGCCCTCCTAGGAAAGACCTTCTTCACTTAGTCATGTGTATTACTTCCTCCTCTAACGTTGCCTGGTCGGTTGGATAGTAGATTTTTCCCATTCATATTAATAGACTGTGAGACCAGCTTTTGATTTTCATGTTTTGTGGGCCTCTGTTAAGGATTTCGCTAGTTCGGTGAAATGAGTTAGGAAGCTTTCTTAGCTTTAAATGGCATTTGAATGACAGACGTGCGTGTACCTTAAAGATTTAAAAGAGCAGGTTGGCCACTGCCTGTGACACCAGCATCCTCTCTGGGTACCAGTTCATGTCCTGGTCGCTCTGCTTCTAGTCCAGCTCCCTGCTGGTGGCCTGGGAAAAGCAGCAGAAGATGGCACAACTACTTGGGCCCCTGGACCCATGTGGGAAACCCGGAAGGAGCTCCTGGCTCCTGGCTTCAGGTTGGCCCAACTCTAGCTGTTGTGGTCATTTGGGGAGTGAACCAACAGATGGAAGATCTCTCTCTTTCTCTCTGTCTCTGTCTCTCTCTCTTTCTTTCTCTCCCCCTCAATGTAACTCTGCATTTCAAATAAATTTTTCAAAAAAAGATAAGAAAAAGCACGTTTTTTTCTCTTCCAAGATTATTGGGCCATTGGTATTTTCTACCTCGTTTGGAGTTAGTTTTGGTAATTTATGTTTTTCTAGAAATTTGTAAGTTTTGTTGAGATTTCCATGAACCAACAGTGTTTATTAGTGTGAATTTTCTTATTTTTTAAATGTCATTTCTTCCATATCTCTGGTGACATCTTCTCATTTCTTATCTTGATATTTGTGTCATTTTTTGAGTTTTGACTTAGTTTTTTTATTTTATTGGCTTTTCAAATAACAATATGTGGTTGTGTTTATTGCTGTGTCTGCTTTTTTGTTTCTAACTCATTTTCTTTCTTTATGGATTCCTTCTTCTTTCTTTCCTACCTGGCTTCTTGTGTTGAGTGCTATGGTGAGGCACTGGTTTCCTGACCCTTTGCTTTCGGGATCAAGGTTTCAAAAAGCATGTGTCCCCAGTGGCAGGGACTCTTGGGGTGACTAAAAGAGCGGCCCCCTGGTGGGGGAAGAACCTATTTCCAGGAGGCAGGAGAGCTGGCCTCAGATCAGCCTGGGCCAGCTCCTCCCCTCTCTGGACCCTCCCACGCTCCCCAGGTACCTGGGAAGGGCTGGGCACTGCCCTAGGCTCACAGGTCCACATTCCAGGAAGCAGCAGCTTCCACCCAGCACACTCGCCCAGGAAAGCTGTGCAGTTGAATTCCCTTCTGTAAGAAGGGCCAGTAAGCAGTGGTGACAGTGTCTGGTGAGAGACAAGCGCTGCCTCTGGACTCAGCACACACGCAGATGGGTTGGCAAGCTGGTGTGGGCTGGAGCACCTAAACAGGCGGCTTTGACCCTGCCTTGCCTGGGGTCAACTCCTGGCCCTTATTGTGTAACTTCAGACAAACCTCATACTCTTGTAAAATGAGGGTTGGGTGTTGGGGGTTAAGTAAGACAATAACATAGAGGAAAATCTTGTGTTTTGTCATCTGTCAGTGTTTGGGGTTTGTTGTCATCATCAGGGGTGTGAGCCTGGGCGTGGGGTCAGGTTGGGGCCCTCCCCGGATCCGTGGGGAGCCAGTCTGTCAAAGCAGCCCCAGCCTTCACTGTCTGTCTCACCGTCTGGCCACTGACATTTCCATCTTTATTTTTTTGAAAGTGATAAGGTGGGGTTGAAAGAGAGACAGACAGTCAGCCATCTTCCATGTGCTGGTTCATTCCCTACATGGCTAAAACCAGGAACCTGGGACTTCATCTGGGGTCCCATGTGGGTTGCAGGAGCCCAAGCACTTGGACCGTTATCAACTGCCTTCCCAGGCACACTAGCAGGGAGCTGGATGGAAAGCTGAGCAGGCACTTGAACTAGCGCTCCCGTGTGGGATGCCAGGGTCTCAGGCAGCGGCTCAGTCTGCTGCACCACATTGCCGACTCCAACACTGCGACCTTGTACTGGGCAGCCTCACACCGCACTCACTCACCCTCCTCAGCAGCCCTGGGTCTCGGGATCTGTAGCAGCTGAGGGGGACAACTGCATGGGCGGGGGCAAACACAGTGCTGCTTAGTCTTAGGTCCTTGCGCTGCCACCCGCTCCCTGTGGGACCTGGGCTCGTTGCTCGCCTGCCCTACCTTAGGTCTCAGTTTTTCCATCTGCAAAATGACAATGCGGGTGGTGAGGAGGTGCCCCCCTCAGCCCTTCTTGTACTGATTCTCCACCATGGTTGAAGCAGGCCGGTGTGTAGCACGACCACTTTTTCCATTCACTTAACAAACACTCAGAGCCCCTGCTACTCCTTGGAGCTTCCATGTGCAGAGAGAGGGCTGGAGGAGGGTGAGCCTTGTCCTCTCCCCTTGTCCAAGTGGTTGGTTCTGGCTGGCGTCTTGCTTCATCCCTGCTCCTGTGGGAGCCACAGCAGCTCTGGTGGGTGCAGCTGGGGGTCCAGGGCTCGCTGAGGCACTCCCTGAAACAATGCCTGGGAAGAGCCCCGGCCCCGAGGCCCTGTACAGACTGGGAGGCGGTGAGCAGAGGGAGGGAGGGCACCTCCTGTCCGCCAGGGCATGGTGCTCAGGGAGGTTCTGCGAACAGGCAGGGCCCCTGGAAAATGAGGCAGCTCTGGGTGCTGCTGGAGCAACTGAGTGACAGGCACTGGGAGGGAGCAGTCACAGGCTGGTCCCCCAGCGCTGAGTTCTCTGGGGGGACGTGGGTGGGAGGTGGCGCTGAGTGCTGCCTGGGCCGCCCTGCGGGGACTTGTGGAGGCTGCGGAGGTGCTCCTGGGGCCTGACTCTGCGTGGTCAGCAGCTGCTCCCTGCACCCCCGGGCCTCAGCGGGCTCCACCGCCTGAAATGCCCTATTTCTGCCCTCCCTCCTTAGCCCCAAGGCTGGCTCATTTCCCACCCACTTCCCAGGCTGGCTGATGGTATGTCCACGCCTTTATCCTCAGAGAAATCTGCTAATTCCTTCCAAGAGGGTGGGCTCTTGCCCCCAGTGCCAAAGTTCATCCCAGAACAGTGTTCCCCCAAGACAAGGGCTCTTGGCCTGATCCAGGGGTGCCTTGTTCCCTGTAACGGGCAGTAGGGGATTGGAAGGCTGTAGCCCCTGCTAAGAGGCAGACAGACCTCAGCGGTTCCTCCCTTACAGACTTGAGCCAGCCCAGGAAACCACAGCCCTGGAGGCTCTGTTAGTTCACGTGGGTATGCACTAAGAGCCTACTGTGTGCTGTGCCAGTGGAGAGTCAGGCTGGCTGGGTGTTGGATGTGCTGTCATCTTGTCCTGAGTGGGGCTAGGAGCCACCAGGAGCTGGGCCCCTGCCCACCTGAGAGGCCACCCCTTGAGGGCCGGGGTCTCGGCCTCCATGGTGCTGGCAGCCACAGATGTTGCCAACGAGATCACTGAATAAAGGAGCAGTCCTAGGCCAAAGAAGGAGAAGGTCAGTAGAGGGCAGGTGTGGAGAGCGGAGGTCGCTCTGCTCCCTGCCCACCTCGGGGGCTGACCAGGCAGAGAGGGGGCCACTGTTTAAGATGCTCTTTGAAGGCAGCTGAGGCTGCGAGCAGCTGGAGCAAGGGGGCCCTTGTGCAGGGACCCAGCAGAAGCAATGGCGTGCAGGTTCAGAAGTGCGAGTGAGCTTTGGGGAGTGGACAGCCGACTGGAGCCACGGGCTGCTGCCACAGGCCTTGTCCCACCTCTCCTTGGTTTCCCAGGGACAGGCTCAAGCCCTGACTGGGTTTGTGCCAGGTGGTGGAGGGGTGGCTGGAGACTGTGTGTGTGTATGCGTGCGCATGTGTGAGTGACAGGGGGGAGCTGGGGCATGTTGGCGTTCAGCGTCCAGACATGACAAATGTGCAGAGGCGCCTGGGGAGCCGTGGACATGAGCGCCCTGCCGCGGCGATGCTCACCCTGTGATTTGTTGCTTTCATTCCTCAGGCCGTGACTTGGCGAGCACGACCCTCCCCGGGTACCCTCCGCACGTCCCCCCCGCCGGACAGGGCAGCTACTCAGCGCCGACGCTGACAGGGATGGTGCCTGGTGAGTCTGCACCGCGGGCGGCTGCACGGCAGGCAGCGGATGGGGTGGGGGCACCCCCCAAACAGCCCGGGTGACCTCGGTGCTGCTGAGGGTGGACCTGAATAAATCAGGCAGGGGTCTTGCTCTCGGCCTCTTTCTCTGCAGCTGGGCCTGTGGAGGGGCTAGGGCCAGCCCATGGCTGCCTTGGGGAAGACATGGGGGAGAGGGCAGCCCTGGACTGTCAGTCAAACAACCCTTGGCTGGCCACATGGGGACTCTGAACACAGGGCGGTGCCCGGCCTGGCTGGAGGTCACCCAGCCGGTGTCGGGGAGGCCGCCTCCCTTCCTGCCCTTCCTCTCCCCTCCCACCCAGCTGCGAGATGTGAGCAAGCGGGAAGCCCCTCAGATAGATGCTCTTGAGGCCAACGTTCCTGGGGTCAAGGACAGCGGTCTCCAAGCAGACAGGATATCGGCTGCTGGCTTTGTCACTTGATTCTCAACACCTGTGACCGTGGGGACCTGAACCTCTGGCCACTGAGGTGTGAGGTTCACGGCATCGGGAAGGGAGGCCGGTGCGTCTCCTGGCATGGTGGGGTGGGGGCAACATGCTCCCTTGGTGCTGGCTGGCTGTAGGTAATGGGTGCCCGCAGAGATACCCAAAGCATGGTTTTTACAAAGTCAAGAGGAAAACCAGGCCCTGTTGGATGTGTTTGCACTTCTCCTGGGAGGTTGCCTTGTCTCTGGTTTAGTCATTTACAGGAGCCATACCCTCATCTCAGTGCTGGGGGCTCTAAGCCCCTCCCCCTTACACACTGCTGACTCCCTTGGGGCACTGAAAGAAGCTCGTGTTGGAGGTCTTGCTGCCTCCCCACCCCAGCCAGCTTTCTCTTTGAAGCCTTCTATCCCTTTGAGGAAACAGCCCAGAAAGGGGCTAGGAGGTGCCAAGGTCACCCAGCGAGTAAGGGCCTGGACCACCTGGGCTCAGCCTTCAACTCGGGCAAGAGAGACCCTTGCTCTGGGAGCCGCTCCTTAGAGGACCCTGCTCTCCGTGCCCCCACAGACTGGGGGCGGCCTACAGGGCCATGGGAATGTGCCCACACCCCTCCTTCCAGCCCACCCCAGAGCCTACCCAAACTGGGCCAAGCTTCTTCCAGCCTTGTCTCAAGGGCCAGCCCCCTAGAGATAGCCCATGTCACCTGTGTGTGCACCCCGGGGCCCAAGGCCTGGCTCTGCACATGGTGCAGACAGAGCCTGGACGCTGTAGCTAGTGGAGCTGGCAGGGTAGGGCGAGGCAAGTCAGATCATGCTGGGGGTGGGGCTTTCCCCGCACGGCACACCCTGGCCCAGAACACGGAGGGGTCCCAGAATTCTCAACTGCGTCCTTGCCTTCCAGGTTGTCTCCAAGATGTATTTAATGAGGTAGGAGGATAGAGCATATTTCATTTAACGGTTTGTTAGCTTGATTTATGACTTCTAAATCTGAGACATATGGGAGCCAGCCTCTGTGTGCGCCCTTGCACTGGGCCTGGTCAGTGCAGTGGAGGCCTGCCAGGCTCTCCCTGTGGAGACGCTGCCGGATTGGGGCGTGGTCCGGTGATGGTCCCAGGGAGAGTGGGCACACGAGGCAGACAGGCAGTGTGATGCCCCCACTCTCTCATTCCCCTCCCCCAGCTCCATGTCTCCCAGCACCGAGCAAAGTAACGCTGCTTTCAGAGCTGGTCTCCAAGCCTTGTCTGGGAAGGGTCCAGCCTGTTTATACAGCACTTTGTAGAAGCCGAGGGCTGTTGGAGCCCGAGGTGAGGTGGGCAAGGTCAGGATGGTGATCTCCATTTTCCAGGAGGGCCTGCTGGAACCCAGAGAGGTCAGGGAGTTGCTGCAGGCTGCACAGCTTGCTGGTCAGAGCTCCTGCTCAGCGATGGCAGAAGGGGAGCGGCGGCCCTGGCCCCGGTCGGTGAAGCTGAGGTTCTCAGGCTGGCCCTCCTGGCTCCCCACTGCAAACCTTCAAGAGGCCAAGTTCAGAGAAGCAGCCGAACTTCCACGAGTTTGTCCAAACAGAGCCTGCTCCTCCAGCCCTAATTACCAGGCTCGGGATACAAATGGCCATGGGCCTGGCAGAGTCCCCAGCAGGAACGGACGACTGCCCCTCGTCCATTAACGGTGGCAGCGGGATCCACAGGCCCAAGCGAGGGCACAGCCTGGCTGTGCCTGCTGGCAGCCCCTGGACAGCTCCAGGGTCCTCAGGCATGGGGGAGGGGGCACAGTGTGGAGGGAGGGAGGCAGGCATTTTGGCAGGGGCGCCTGCTGCCCCCTTCTTCCCTCTCCCTCTGCTGTTTCCTTCTCTGCGTTCCTCTCGCTCCTCTTCCTCCTCCTGCCCGGCTCCCTCGCTTTCTCTGCTGCTTGCTCGGTACCAGGCGCCATGTCAGGGCCAGCTCCGAGCTCAGCAGGCACAGGCCCTGGTTCATGGTGCTCAGCGTCCCGCCCAGCGGTATGGCTTTGCGGCTCCTGTTCCTGACACAACCCCCCAGTCTGGTTTCTTGGGGGCCTTTGTCACCGCGTCAGGGCTGTCCCACAGCACACAGGGCTCACCTTGCAGCAGGGTGGGGGTCCTGGGCCTTCCTACCATACCACTCTTCACTGTGGTCTGGCCCCAGTGTGCCTCTTCTGCCTCCTCTCCCCGCGCTCCCCTCCCCTCCCCGTGCACCTGAGACTCTGACCAGTCAGTGTCCTTCCTTGTTCTGTGCCTTTGACTGGACCACCGCCCAGCTCAACCCACGCCGACCCAGCCTCTCCCTTCGAGCTAAGTGCAAGCCCCAGCTGCCCTGGGTGCAGGGGTGGCCTGCTCCGGGGGACACACACGTGGTGCGGGCAGCTTGGCCCTGCTCCGCGTTTGCCTCGACAGCTGAGCAGTCTTCACACTTGGTGCCACTGGCCGGTGTCGTCATTTCCTGTGGCAGCTCTAAGAAGTTGCCACGGGCTTAGTGACTGAAGGCAACGGAAGTGTTCCTCTCACAGTGCCAGAGCCCACGAGTCGGGAATCCGCATCCCTGGGCCAAAATCAGGGTGTCGGCAGAGCCCAAAGAAGAGACCCATTCCTTTCCTCTTCTAGCTTCTCGTGGCTCCCGGCTGTCCTTGGCTTGTGGCTGTGCTGCTCCAAGGCCAGGATCTTTGCATCACCTGCTATTGGGTGTGGGTCGGTTCTCCCTCTTCTCCCGCTTGTGGGGATCCACATTGTAGGGCCCATCCGGATAATCTGCCCAGTGCGATCACACCTGCAGAGACCCTGCCCCTCCCTTCCTCTGAGGTAGACGTAGCAGCCACAGCTCCCAGGGCCAGCACATGGAGGCACCACAGCCTAGCCCAGCGTTTCACTCTGCGCTTGTTCAGATTTCTGATGTGTAGCCTCCTGGGCTTCTGAATGCAGGGGTACACCCATCCCATCATGACGGGGTGCAGGGTGATGATGCCAGTTCACAACCCCCACATGGAGGCCCACGTGGAGATACAGGTGGCTGTGGGAGGACTGTGTGTCCTCCCTCTGAGGGGCCATGCTGCACCTGTCTGCTTCCCCCACTCCTGGCCTCTGGCTGGCTGGCAACGCAACCACATGGAAACCGGGGATCTCCTGGGTTGTTCTTCCTACTGCAACCTCAGGGCGAGCTGCTGCTGCTTCCTTCTAGAAGTGACGGCCTCTGTTGATGAGGTCGCTGCTGGACACACAGAGGAGGGACTGCCCCAGGACGGTGGCACTTTCGGCCTGGGAGAAATAGTTATAAGGTCATTCTGTATCACCTGTCAGCTTGTTAGCTTAGACCTATGCTTGCTCGCTCTCTTATCTCTCTCTCTCTCACACACACACATACACACACACTTACACACGGGTGGAGGGGTGGAGATACTCTATTATTCCCCAAATGTCTGCAGTGGCTGGGGCTGTGCCAGGCCGGAGCCAGGAACTCAATCCTGGTCTCCTATGTGGCTTTCAGGGACCCAGTACTTGAGCCACCACCTGTTGTCTCCCAGGGTGCACATCAGCAGGAAGCTGGAATCTGAATTGGAGCAGGACTTGAACCCAGGCACTCAGATCTAGGATGCAGGTGTCCCAACACTGAGCCAGACACCCGCCCCTTATGCTGACCTTGAACCCTGATTCCGTCATCAAGTTGCTACCTGCCCCTGCTGCTCCAGGGCTTCCCTGTGACTGTAAAACGTGGCTCCTGTCGTGTTTGTGGATTCCGTTTCCACAGCCTGCCAGCTCCGTATGTGTTGAGGAGGATGAACGCAGCATATTGTGTCAGCTTAGAATGGAGTCAGTTTTCAGATTGCATTTTCGGCCAGCCCAAGCAAATGCCAGAAGTTTTGCACCAAAGATTCCATGCATCTTGATGGCTGTAACTGCTGGGTTCCTGCCTGCAGGTATTTGTGCAACCTATCAGATATTGACCTGGCATTTGAAACTATTAAGGATTCCGGGCTGGAGGAAAACAGAGTTCACCGCCCTTGGCCTTCCGTTTATCTGGGAGTCGAGGTCCCCGTCTTGGAGATGAGTCAGTAAGGGAGGCCCAGGCTCTGCCCTGCCAGCCTCTTCCTAGGCTCCTCTTCTGGGGCTTTAGGCCAGGGTCCCTGGAAGACCCGGGAGTGCCGTCTTCTCCCTGTTCTGGGCTCTAGCAGAGGCAGAAGCCGATCGATGGGCAGCTGCCAGTGCAGTGCGCACAAAACGAGCCTGGCCAGAACCCTGTGCTCCTGGCCACTCTTCTCACCATGGCCTGGTGGCCAGCACGTCTAGATGCATTCCTGCTAAGCTGCTCAATGGACTGATGCTTTATATTGGCTCTTGTTTTTAGAATATTTATACTCATATTTTTAAAAATTTAATTTTATTTATTTGAAAGGTAGAGAGAGAGAGAGAGAGAGACAGTCAGAGATCTCCTGTCCACTGACTCATTACCTAAATGCCCTCAACACCCAGGCCTGGACCAGGCAGCAGCCAGGGGCCAGGAACTCAACTCAGGTCTCCCACCTGG